AGAGATTAGGCCTCTGCCTGCCTCTGAGCCTGGCTATTTATTTTGATGTGTATGGGTACAGTGCCCATGGAACAAGAAAGGGTAATTGTGTCTCCTGGGACTGGAGTTAGGACAGTTGTGAGCTGCCATGTGGGCGCTGGGAATTGAATGTAGGTCCTCTGGAAGAGAAGCCAGTGCTGCCAAGCCATCTCTCCAGCCCCGTATTACCTTGCTCTTTGCATTTTCTCAAGAAGTAATTAAGCATCGGGGCTCATTACTTGTATAAGCCTCCTCCAAAAGCAGAACTTAATTTTGTATTCGTAATTTTGTAATATTCTCTGAAGAATCTTCCCCACTATGCCCTTCCTATCTCTCATTTACTTTGAAAATAATAATTACTGTGTTTTCTTGCAAGATTTGAATTTGCATTTTGGGGTCTCCAAACCTAGCAAAGACTTGCCACATAGTATTCCTTAGTAAGTGTTATTAATACAGAAATTTCATCTGTAGGTCACTTTTTTTTTTTTTTTTTTGTCACTGGGCATTTATTGTTAGCAACATTTAGAATTCAAAGTAAGGCTGAGAGAGCCACTATGGTGGCTGGTTCAGTTTGTAGTGAGAAATACTTTCCAAGGACAATATGGCCACCCTAGAGCACTTGCTTTCTCAGTCTGGGTTTCCTTCTCTTTCCTCATGGAGCATGAACTAGTTAGTACTAGCTGATTGTTCTACAGACACATCATTGTTATGGACCTATGCACCCACTTAACATCAGGTCTCACATGATATAAAGAATGAAAGATGCTTTAATCAAAGCAGTACATGTTTATTGCAGAACAACAGAAAACAGAGAAAAAGGTATGAATAAACAGCCTAAGCCACTAAAGTCCACCCAAAGAATTCAATGTATTCACACACACACACACACACACACACACACACACACACACACTTAATTCTGTTTTTGAGACAAGGTCTCACTTTGTAGCTCTGCTGGCTTAGAGCTCACTATGTAGACCAGGCTGGCCTCAAACTCATGGATATTCACCTGTCTTTGCCTCTTCAGTGATGAGTGCTGGGATTAAAGGTGTGTGGCACCATACATGGACTATACCTCTATTTTATTATTATTGTTTTTTAGAAAAAGAATCATATGATACATTGTGAATATCTTCTAGTATGCAATAGATTTCAATATTGAAACAATTTTATTATTTTTAATATTTCTTTTATTTTATGTGTATGTGTCTCAGTGTATAAATGTGCATCATGTATGGGGCAGGAGCCCTCAGGGGTCAGAAGAAGGCATCACATACCCTAGAACTGGAATTACAGGTGTTTGTGAGCCACCTGATGGAGGACCCGAAGATGGGTCCTCCACAAGGCTAGTACTCTACTGAGCCATCTTTCCACAACCTCAATAGTGAAACAATTTTTTAAAATCTCCTGATATCTGGACGTAGTGGAGCAAGTGTATAATCCATGTATGCAGGAGGCTGAGGCAGGAGGATAGATGTGAATTTGATGCCCTCCTGGGCTAGAGACCTTATCTCAAATCAAAACCAATAAATCTCCAAAAACTTTAAACCTAAACAACAATAAAAAAAAAAAAAAGCTTCGCCCCCCCCCCCCCCTGCCCCCAGACAGGGTTTCTCTGTGTAGTTTTGGAGCCTGTCCTGGAACTCGTTCTTTAGATCAGCCTGGCCTCAAACTCAGAGATCTGCCTGCCTCTGCCTCCAGAGTGCTGGGATTAAAGGCATGCACCACCACTGCCCAGCAAAAAGCATTTGCTGTAATTTATTTGTAATCTCTGATAGGAAGTGCTAAGAATCTTGTTTTAGGGGCTGGAGAGATGGCTTGGTCAGTGGTTAAAAGCACTGGTTGCTCTTATGGAGGACCTGGGTTCAACTCCCACCATCCACATGGTGGCTCATAACCATCCATGAGTCCAGTTTCAGGGTATCTGTTTCCTCCTTCTGACTTGCGTGGGCAGTCAAACCATTCATACATATAAATCTTTTTGTTTGTTTGTTTGGTTTTGGTTTTTCGAGACAGGGCTTTCCTCTGTAATCCAGGCTGGCCTCGAAGTCACAGAGATCCTCCTGCACCACTATGTCGGGCTTCAAACATACAAATCCTAAGAAAAAAATTTTTTTACAAAGGAATGTTTTTAGTACACACAGGACTGTTACCCTAAGTATAAATGGGTACCGCATTTATGCATGAGTATACTTAGTATGAGGCAACATAAGCAATATATATATATATATATGTATATATATATATATATAGCTTTATATATATATATTGCTTTATATATATATTGCTTGCAATTGCGGGGAGGCTTTCTCTAATAATGAGATGATACCGCTTTCCCTCCCACTCAACTCCAGAGGGCAAAATTCGCGTAGACTCAAGTCAGCTGCTGCGCCCAATGAATAAATATTTAACAAAAAAGAGCGAGATGAGTCCCTAAGTATCGGGGTAGATCATTTCACAGGAAAATGTTATGGAACATAGGGAGGTTCATAAAGGATTTATTAGGTGAAACATTCCGCAGCTTCTAGTGCAAACAAAACAAACCAAACAAAAAAACAACAACAAAAAACCGGCGGGAAGAGACAAGACGTTTGAAAACCAGTAGGGAACAGATCACGCCTGCGCAGTCTTGGGGCTCCCAGACGCTGCCGAAACACCCAATGCCAGGAGTCGCGGGGCCTGCTGGGAACTGTAGTGTGACTCTCGCCTGTGCTGGAGCGCGGGGCCCCACAGGACTCAGTTTCCCGGCAGGCCACGCGGTGAGGCCGCGGGCGGGACGCGAGCTGCGGCGCTGGCAGCTGGAGTGACCTGGTCGGTGTAGGTACGTTTCGTGGCGATGGCTTCTTTCGTGACGGAAGTCTTGGCTCACTCGGGGAGCTTGGAGAAGGAGGATCTCGGCACTCGAATCAGCCGCCTGACCCGGCGGGTGGAGGAGATCAAGGTGAGGGCGGGCCACCGTCGGCCGGCTGCAAGCTGGGGAGATCCGGGTGCGGAACTAATGGGGAGAACCCTGAGTCGGAGGCGAGACAAGTGTGGGGACTGCTTAGAGAGCGGCCACCAAGGCCTGGGACTGTGAGGAGGAAGGGGCCGTGGCTGTACCGTGGTGGGGAGTCGTGCTAAGTTGAGCAAGAGTGAACTGGGATGGAGCAGACTGAAGAAACCAGTGGAGCCGGAGGTGGGACTGGAAGCCCGGATGTCCAGAGAGGGCTGGGGGAGAGGACAGGATAAGCCACCCTATCTGGCTGCTCATCTCCACCCACTCTTTCATTTATGGATGAATGTAATAATTCTAGGAAAATTGTGGCGTCATCCTCGATTTTTTTTTAAACCGGTTGAATATGTTTATAAAAGTCTAAATTCACGCACGGAACTTGAGGCATGCGAAGTGCTGGTGAGGCTATCTTGTGCCTGCATGGATTTGCAGCACACAGCCACAGTTCACTTCGTATTGGTGTTACCTGGCAAGACACATCTTCAGTGGCTTTCATTTAAAATGACCTGTCCCTGAGAAAGTCTGGACTTCAGGGAGCAAGCGTCCTAACAACAGTGGATGACACAAAAATGGCTTTCTTAATTTTAGGTGTTCTTGCCAATGGCATCTCTGTAATGTGGCTTAAGCTGCTTCTTCTTTTTTTTTTTAATGACCTTTTTAATGACCTAGGAAGAGAACATTGCATTCAGAGCCTACTTTTTCTATTAGTTTTTATACGTAAACTTGAGTCTTAAGTCAATGAGTACTACTTTCTTTGCCTCAGATAAGCATATTCCCTGCACCCCCAGCTCCCATATTTTGCCATTTCTCCATATTTTAAAAGTCTTTCAATGTATTTCTAATATATATAAAATCTTCCATCTCAAATGTAACCTCCTGAATAAAGCAGATGCCTGATTTTTTTTTTTTTTTTTCCCTCTGAGAGATAGTCTTTCTCATTGTACTTTGTAACTCTGCTGGAGTATTGCATTTTGGCCCTGTATTTTGGTCAGGTTGGAAAATAGAATCTTTCTTCCCTGAAAGGAATTAGTTTATGGGCAAGCATAAGTTACTCAGTGCAGTGTTCAAGAAGGCATTAAGTTGCCTTGAATTAAGGGAGATAACAAGACCCAATCCTTTTTTTAAATTTTTTATTTATGTATGTATGTGTGTGTATGTGTGGGGTGCATGTATGTACCATGGTACATGTGTGGAGGTCAGAGGACAACATCTGGGAATCAGTTTTTTCCTTTTACTGTGTGGGTCCCAGGAATTGAACTCGGGTCATCTTTGGCAGCAAGCGCTTTTACTGTCTGAGCCATCTCCCCAGTCCTTCTAATCATTTGAAGAGCTTTAAGATTATCTCTTAAAGATTATCTGTTGCTCAGAAGATGGAAATTCATAAATTAAGGTATACAGATTATGGATATGTATGTTTAGGTAGATTAAAATTTTTGGACACAGATACAATTCATTGTGAAACTTATGACTCCATCTTTCTCATTTCTAGAGTCTGTACAAATCTTGAGCATTGTTGGAGTTTGGTAATTGTTATCTTTCTACATTTTAATAATGTATGGGACCCTTAAGGATGAATGAAATGTTTTTGAAGGAAATGCATTGCTTGGAGGGAAAGCTATGCGTAACTAGATAACGTTCTAACTTGGAAGATGCTGTATATTTTTTATGAAGTTCCTAATTCATTTCATTACTCAGTGCAGTGTTCAAGAATGCATTAAGTTGCCTTGAATTAAGGGAGATAACAAGACCCAATCCTTTTTTAAATTTTTTATCTTGTATTACAGGGTGAGGTGTGCAATATGATCAGCAAGAAGTACAGTGAATTCCTGCCTACCATGCAGAGTGCACAGGACCTGGTTACCCAGGTGGACAAGCTATCTAATGACATCGACCAGCTGAAATCCAGGATAGAGAGTGAGGTAAGAATAGATTGTTGTGTTGGGTAAGTTTAGGTTTCTTAGGGAGGCATCGTTTTTTTTTAGCTTCTTGATTTCTAAAATTTCTGTGGAACATTTCAGGGCCTTGATTTCCTTATTGGTAAGTAGAGGTTGAACCAAATGATTGTAGGGTGACTTCAATTCTAATTAGAACTATTTCTCAAACTTAGAATCATATAGTCTTCCTCTTATGGTGCTTTTTCTTTTAGTGAGGATAATAATGTCTTATATGTGAGTGGATTTTTTAATTAAGAAAATCTGAGGACTTCATTTGAAATGAAAACAGATAATGCTTAGAACTAGATCATTTGGTCTTTTGTCTTTTCCTAATTAGAATGTTTGTTCCTCCCTCTCTCTTGTTGAGACAGGGTCTTTCTGTGCAACCCAGGCTGGCCTGGAGCTCACTGTGTAGCCCAGGCTGGCCTTGCACTTGGAATGATCCAGCTTCCTCTTCCCCAGAGGCTAAGATCCAAGACTAGAGGCTTGTGTCGCTGTGCACAACCACCCTGTCATCTTTTATAGCATTCTCTTAGATCTGCAGCTGGCCTTAAGACATTTAAGTGTCAGACGATTTTTCTTGAATTGGGCCTTCTGTAAAATTTGCTTGCACTGTTCATCACAGCTATTCTACTGTTGATGAGCCTGCAGAGGACTCGTGTACTGCGGTACTCTGTGGCCTAGTACTCCATATCTTTATGGAGAATGTGGTATGCTTTAGGAGCAAAGGGGAACTGAGGCACAAGCTGTTTGGTCACTGAAACAAATCTTGACCCTTGGCTCTGGATATATTGGGCTGAGTAAGTCTGTCCTGTACAGTATATAAAGCACTGTATAATGATAGAGCTCTACTCCATGGCTTCTGTTTACTAGATGCCAGCCCTATTTCAGCGTGGCAGTCAAAAAAATGTCTCCAGACATGGCCAGATATTTTAGAGAACTGAGGGAGATCAGTAGAGAATGGATCATGGAACAAGAGAGAGGGAAGGGGGAGGGAAGAAGAGGTGTGTTAGTTTGGTATTGGTGAAATAGGCTTTGGTTGAGCAGTGAAAAATTGGTGCCTTTTTTTTTTTTTGAGTGAGTGAGTCAAGGTCTCCGTGTAGCCTCCCAAGTGTTGAGATTAAAGGTATGCACCCCCCACCTCCCCAACCCCTGGCTGAAAAATTGGTGTTTTTGATCAGGACAATATTGATGAACTGGTGGAACTAAAACTTTCGTTACAGCGAGGTGTAGAGTGACTGAAATGAGGAATTAAGACAGCATAAATGTCAGTTAGCAAAAGCTTATGTGTGTGAAGCGGGAGAGGAAGAAGGCAACTGCTGAGAAATAGGGTGGTTGTTCGAGTGGAGGGAATTCTTTCCAAAGGCATGGAAAGTTCAACATTCTGAAATCTGGTGGGAGGAGCTTCCCATGAGCTGTAGTTGCTCAGTTACTTATTTCATGCATGAATGAAGAATGAGGGAGGGCGAAGTTAAAACACAGAAGAAAGAGAATTAATGATGCCCTGAAACAGTGGAATAGAATGAGGGAGAAGCTTCCCATGCAGCTGTAGGTGCTCAGTTACTTATTTCATGCATGCATGAAGAATGAGGGAGGGCGAAGTTAAAACACAGGAGAGAGCGAATTAATGATGCCCTGAAACAGTGGAATAGAATGAGGGAGAAGCTTCCCATGCAGCTGTAGGTGCTCAGTTACTTATTTCATGCATGCATGAAGAATGAGGGAGGGCGAAGTTAAAACACAGGAGAGAGCGAATTAATGATGCCCTGAAACAGTGGAATAGAAGGAAGTGGGTTCTGTCTCAACATTAAAAACAATCACTTGTCACCCAGCTGTGGTGGTGCATGCCTTTAGTCCCAGCACTTGAGAGGCAGAGCCAGGAGGATCTCTGTGAGTTCTGGTCTATAGAGCGAGTTCCAGGACAGGCACCAAAACTACACAGAGAAATCCTGTCTCGAAAAAACAAACAAAACAAAATAGTCGCTTGTCAATGGGGATGCCTTTCTAGTAATCCAAGTGGATGAACTCTACTGAAAGACACTGCTTACCTTAAGAGAAGGTGATGAAGCAGAGATAGTCACATCTCTGTGAGTTGGAGACCAACCTGGTCTATATAATGAGTTCCAGGCTAGCCAGGGCTGTATTGTGAGATCCTGTCCCGAGAATGGGTGTCCTTATTGATTTCTGTTTATTTGTATTTGTTTTGTGTGTTATATGCTTGCTACTCAAGCTCAGGTCATCAGGGTTGGTGGCAAAAATCTTTACCCATTGAGCTATCTCGTCAACCTGAGAATGGATGTTCTTGTATAGGGTAAGGCTTTGAACTAAGTGGATCTTTACAGTCCCTCCTAATCATCTTCAGTGTTTTTATTTGTCTGAACTGTTTAAATTTCAACATGAATTACACTGTGCTACTAAAGCTTAGTGATAAGTTACGAGTGTTGTATTCCTTTGATGTGGTATGACTTAAAAGTACTTACACTTTTGATGTATGAATTAGGTCCGTCGGGATCTTCACATATCGACTGCTGAATTTACAAGCTTGAAGAAGCAGCTGGAAAGAGACTCTGTAGTCCTGGATTTGCTCAAACAATTGCAAGAGGTAAGTAAGCTCAGCTGGAACGTTGGTGTTTGGCTGCTGAGGAGGCTGTCTCTTTTTCTGGTTGGTTCCTGACAAAATGGTGTTTTCACATTTTACAAGCAGACATTTAAAATAGTAAGACCTGGAAATGAAAATGCCTGCTAATCTAAACTTATCTTTTTCAGTTTTCTTCTGCTATTGAAGATTATAATAGTGCATTAGCGAAGAAGAAATACATCGCTGCTGCTCAGCACCTGGAGGAGGTACATACACGCTCTTTGAAGTCTGAGCCGCTAGTGCTGGTCTCGCTTTTGATGTGTTCGTTTGTGTCCTTTGGTCCTTTGTTGTTCAACAAGTAGGTTCTAGTTTTTTTGTGAATCTCGAGGAAATGTTAACAGTGATTCCATTTTACTACCAGGCACAGGAATGCTTGAAGTTATTAAAATCCAGAAAATGCTTTGACTTGAAAATGTTGAAGTCTCTCAGCATGGAGCTTACTGTCCAGAAACAGAACATCCTTTACCACCTCGGAGAAGAGTGGCAGAAGCTGATTGTATGGAAGTTTCCCCCGTCAAAAGGTGCTGCTGACCTCAGGTGGACTGCTTTGCTTAATCTGCCTGAACCATTTTGGCCTCTGAATACATCCTAAATATTTAGTATTAAAAAACAAGACTATTTCACTTACTGATGTATTAATCTGTTAGTTTTTCTGAATTTCATTTATTAATCTTTCAACCTACCTCTTAGTGTGATCTCCCTTTTCACAGGTTTTTTTTTTTTGTTTTTTTTTTTTGGTTTTTCAAGACAGGGTTTCTCTGTGTAGTTTTGGTGCCTGTCCTGGAACTCGCTCTGTAGACCAGGCTGGCCTCGAACTCACAGAGATCTCCTGGCTCTGCCCCCCAGGTGCTGGGATTAAAGGCCTGTCCCACCACTGCCCGGCCCTTTTCACTGGTTTTTGTTTTTCATTTTTTTGATTAGCATATATATTGTACATAATATCATGATGACATTTTTACAGTGTAGCTAATAGATTTTGATCATATTCACTCCTCATTCCCTTCTCTTTCTCTTCTCATTCCTGAAAGTGAGCTCACATTCTAAATTATTTGCCTTAGAATGAAACCTAGGAAGGGGTTTGTAAAGAACGTACATTTTCTGTGTTGGATTTTGAAATTTAGTGTATTTCAGAGTACATCCCAGAAACTCCTGCTCTGTTTCCTATATCCATTTTACCTCCACTTTGTGTGTGACATTTGATATATTATCTGGTATTTTGAAGAAGTAGTACAGAAAGTTTCAGATGGGATTCTCGGGTAGACTGCAGCTGAGGTGACGCCGGCAGGAGCGTTGAACTCTTTCTAGTAACACTCTGCTTATTAGACCTGTTAAGCAGGTTTGGTGGCACTGGCGGGTGGAAGGTCTGGGAACCAAGGGCTCACTTTACAGTCCTTGCCTCTTTAGTCAGTCTGCACACATTTAGGTAGCATTTCTTACTGGCATATCAACTTTTTTGCACTTAATTTGATTTTTTAGGACATACCAAAAAAATAGCATCTTCTGTTTGGAAGCAGTGCATAGGTCATGTGTATCATACTTAATCGTATCATAAGTATGTTGTAATGAAACTTTTAGGAATCTAACAATTTTAGGAATCTAAAGTTTCCTCACAGCAGAGGACGTGCTGTGAGGAGATGATCCCCTTGCATTGCTGAGACAGCTGATATTCTCTTCCTTTTCTCAGATACCAGCAGCTTAGAATCTTGCCTACAAACAGAGCTTCATTTCTGTACTGAACAACCCCAGAAGGAGGAGGTGGCCCCTCTGCCATCCATCAGCTCTGTCCTCTTGGCATTTTCCATTCTTGGAGAATTACCCACCAAGCTGAAATCATTTGGTAAATGATTTGTTTCATTCCCATTAAATTTCAGAAGGCCTAGTGTGAAAGGGATGACCAAAGAGATGATAAACTTCTAAGGAGAATATTAGTGATCCATCAGAGCAGTGGTTCTCAACCTTCCTAACACTGTGACCCTTTGATACAGTTTCTCATGTTGTGGTGACCCCAACCATACAAATATTTCGTTGCTACTTCACAACTGTAATGTTGCTACTGTTATGAATTGTAATGTAAATATCTGATGTGCAAGATATCTGATATGTGACCCTCCAAGGGGTTGTGACCCACAGGTTGAGAACCACTGCCTCAAAGGGACTGGTCATAAGTATCTTTTTTAGTAATGAATGGGTCCTTTTTAAAAACTACTTCTTAATTTTTATAATTATTATTTTTGAATAACTTAAAAGTCTACAGGTAGGAAAGATTCTCTGAGAAAACTTACAGTATGTAATTTCATAGGTATATTTTGTTTCTGAGATTTACTTATTTAGTTTATGTGTTTGGGTAGTTTGCCTGCTTATATATATAGATACTCTATGTATATGTTGTGTCCATGGAAGGCGTTAGATTTTCCCAGTATCTGGAGTTACAGGCAGTTGCCAGTTGTCATGTGGGAACTGGGAACTGAACCTGGGTCCATTGCAAGAGCAGCCAGTGCTCTTAACACTTGAGCCATCCCTCTGGTCCTCATGATATATATTTTTGGTACATTTATGCTTTAGAAATTTCCTCTAGTGATTATTTTTAAACAAATTTTATATTTAGATTTATTTATTTTATTTTATATATGAGGTTTTGCTTGTATGTATGTCTGTGTACCACGGGTATGTCTGGTTCCTATGGAGGTTAGAAGAGAACATCAGATCCCCTGCAACTGGAATCATCGTTGTGAACCACCTTGTGGGTGCTGAGAATCGAGCCTGGGTCCTATGCAAGAATAAGAAATTCTCTTAACTACTGAGCCATCTCTTTAGCCCCTGATTTTTAAATTTTTTATTTTTTTGAGACAATGTCTTATTCTTTTCTGTTTCTTTACTTTTTGGAAGCTTCATGTATGAGTAATGATATTTGCATCGTTTTCCCTGTTCTGTAGTAGTTGTTGATGAGTGTTTTCATGGTATTGATTTCAGGTCAGATGCTGCTGAAGTATATGCTTAAACCTCTGGTGACTTGCCCATCACTCCATGCTGTGATTGAAAAGCAGCCAGATTCAGTTACCATTCGCTTTCAGTCTCTGACGACAGACTTGGAGCATCCGTCACCACCTGAAGCTTTTGCAAAGATCCGATTAGTCCTGGAAGTGCTCCAGAAACAGCTTCTAGGTCTGTACTCCAAAGTGGCCTTTTATAATCTGGAAATGTGCATACTGCTTTTACAAGTATTACCATTAGGGCAAAAGTGCAGGTAGAGTCCAGTGAAGGAGAGGGTCTGGGCTATGATACGCCACAGAAGCATAGTACGTCCCTTCTGAGTTCTTGCCCCCTTTACAGTTCTTCTCTTTGCCCTGTATTAGCAAGTTGGGTCATTAGTGGTATCTCAGATCCCGTGTTTTAATGGTATTTTAGCTGGAGTCCAGTGTGGGGGACCAGCCCCGACCTTTACCTGGGTACTCTTGAGGAGAGAGGGATAAGAGATTTAGACAGAAGGATAGAGGGGAGAGAAAAAGACAGAAACACAGGATAGCCTCGGGAGGGCCTGGATCCTTATCCACTGGCCTAGAACTTTATTCAAAAGGCTTTTTATAACAATGCCAAAGGGTGAAGCAAAAGACCTCCCCCTTGTTAAGATACAACCAAGTGTAGACCCTTCCAAACACCCACAACCCAGGCCCGTGATCAAATCATCCTCTTATGCAGTCCTGCTGGTAAAGCAAGCTCAGATCTCACTAGGAAACCTCTGTGGGCTCCCACAGTCTAGGATGTACTTTTACTGGACTTCTGGTAACATCATAGTTTGGGATCTTGCCTTAGTTGTAGGAAAAATCAGCCAGGTACTGTTGTACATATTTCCATGGGAAAATTTCGATTTATCTGATGCAAATAAATGAGTAGCAATATCAGGAATAAATTGTGTTTTCACTTGGCCTATTGGTAATCTTTACATCGGAAATAGCCTTCTTTTGTGTTTTACTGTGAACCAGGTTTTTCTCCTCTATATGGTCTACAAAGTGAGTTCCAGGACAGGCACCAAAACTACACAGAGAAACCCTGTCTTGAAAAACCAAAAAAAAAAAAAAAAAGTTTCTTCTGAGCCAGGCAGTGGTAGCTCACACTTTTAATCCCAGCACTTGGGAGGCAGAGGTAGGCAAATCTCTGAGTGTGAGAACAGTCTGATGTACAGAGTGAGTTCCAGGACAGCCAGGGCTACACAGAAAAACCCTGTCTTGAAAAACCAGTTTCTTCCAGTGTTTTGAAACAGTGCTGCTATTTCTGGTCTGTTTGACTTAGGTTCTTCTTGCCTTCTTCAGTAGTCCTGTGGAATGTTCCAGCCAACATTCTTTTGAAGAAAGTTTTTAAACTTTAAAAATGTTGCTATTCGTGGGCCTTCCTAACAATCATAAACTATTTATTTTTGTATAAGTGATTTAGATATGAGTAAGGAATCGTCTGTGTGACTTTGATAGAAGCAGAACACTTCAAACCCACAGTCTTGCCTCAGCCTCCCAAGGCCGCATCACAGCTGTGTGCTGCCATATCCATCTCCCAACGGAGATTTTCTTCCTCTTAGTTCTTAAGAAGAAATGCACCTTTGTTGTTTTGGTTTGGTTTTCTTTGAGACAAGAGTCTCACGGTCTGGTCTGGAACTTACTCTGTATCCTAGACTAGGCCAGGAATCTTCCTGCCTCACTCCTCTTGTCAGTTGCTGGCTCGGATTCCCAACGCCTTCATGTTGGCAGTTAGGTCTGCAACTGAAAACTCTGTGGGGACACAAGTCCTTAGCAAGTGACAGGTGACAACACCCTTCTTTTATGTGAGATCAGCGAGAAATAAAGTGTAGTGTGGTGCTTCAAGCTTGTACTGTCAGCATCCAGGAGGCCGAGGCAGGAGGATCACCATGACTTCCAGGCTAGCATGGCCTATAGAGTAAGATCCTGCCTGTTTCATTCTGCATTACACCCCTCTCCCAAATCCACATCCTCATTTTTGATGATTTGAATTTCTAGCGAGCATTTCCTTTTACTTCAGTGAAAACACAACACTAATGGTGCAGTTAGCCTGTCTGTAACTCATGAGCAATGGCAAAGAGCACAGTGTCATTCCGTTTGTTGTCTTCTGTAAACCAGAGGTAATTGGTAGTGTTAGCATGTATATAAACTGACCCCCCCACACACACCACCACCCCGACAGGGTGTCTCTATAGCAGTCCTGGCTGTCCTGAAACTTGCTCTGTAGACCAGGCTGGCCTTGAACTCAGAGATCTGCCTCCCAAGTGCTGGGATTAAAGGCGTGTGCCACCACCGCCTGGCTTGAAATTTTTTCCTTTTTTTAATGTCTGTAATGGCTTCACTTTTCATTCTGTTTCAGAAGAAAGCTGGAAAAAAGAAAAAAAAAAAGGCCTGGAGTGATGGCTCGGTGGCAAAGAGCACTGACTGCTCCTCCAGAGGTCCTGAGTTCAATTCCCTGCAACCACATGGTGGCTCACAACCATCTGTAATGAGATCTAGTGCCCTCTTCTGGCGTGCAGGGACACATGCAGGCAGAATACTGTATACATAATAAATAAATAAATCTTTTAAAAAAAAAAGAAAGCTGGAATGGAGTCTAAAAGGAAGCACCAACATCCTGGCTTTTCCCTCCTTTCATTCATTCATTCATTCATTCATTTGTTAAGGCAGGGTTTCTCTATTTAGCCCTGGCTGTCCTGGAATTCACTCTATAGACCAGGCTGGCCTCTTAACTTACAGAGATCCTCCTGCCTCTGCCTCCTGAGTGCTGGGATTAAAGGCGTGCGCTGCCACTGCCCGGCATTATATTTATTTGTTAACCACAGTGTGA